TTTACCCACCGGGTTCTAGTTGGAGCCCAGTAGGCCGAAATCCAATATCATAATACACTTGGTTCTCATTTAATTCTAAATTACGGTCACCCCTTAAGCTATAGTAAAATTACGAAAACTCCCTTATTTGGGTAATTGCAGCCACCCTCTCACCTATGTATTATCTTACGAAAAAACCCCTCCATAGGCAAATTTAGGAATGTTAATTCGGTAAAACCGAACCGAAATTTCGGTACGCCAAACATTTCACACCATTTACCAAACTAAATATACGATTTTGTTCGGTAAATAACCGAATTACATAAATTTTATGTAAAAATATTTAAAATGAGGGGATGGCTGTAATTACCCAAACAAGAGGGGTTATTTTTGTAATTTGACCATACCTCAGGGAGTAGTCGTAATTTGCCCTATATTTTATTGGTGTTTTTGAACCGCAAGATCTACACATAATCACACACACACACACACACACACACACACACACACACACACACACACACACACACACACACACACACACACACACACACACACACACACACACACACACATGTATGTGTGTGCTAGTTGGTAGTTATATAATTAAATCTACGATTGAAACTCACCTAGTGTAAATAATCAGATGTAACATCTAACTCCCCGTATTCAGTAACATAAGTTGCAAAAAAATTGAGACAATTGTAATAATAATAATATTGCAAATTACGGCCAATCCGTTAAAGTAAGGTTAAATTACGTAAACCCCCTCATATTTAGGTAATTACAGTTATTCCCTTCAACTATGTATTTTCTTACAGAAAAATTACATCGTAAGGATGAACGTATAAGACAATACATAGTTGAAGGGATGATTTTAATTACCTAAACAAGAGGGGTATTTTCGAATTTGACTTTACCTTAGGAGGTGGCCGTAATTTACCCTATTAATTATGATAACCTAATCAAAACTCCCCTTAATTGGAATTCTCAAACGGTTAAAATTAATTTCAAGAATTATTGTAACTTTCATATTTAAAGAAAAAAAAATTAGATATTTAAGGCGTACGTGTAATCAGTGGCGGATCTACATATGGTCTAGGGTGTGCAGCTGCACACCCTTGAATTTACAAATAAAATGTACTGTTATACATAATTTGAATAAAACAGCTAATGGTTGAGGTGGTAAAGAGCTTTTTTAAAGGTTAAGAGGTCTCAGGTTCGATTTCTGCACCTCACGAAATACTTTTTTTCTTTTTTTTTTTCTCTCAAAATGGTCCAAACCATTCAAATAGTTATTATTTTTCACCTCTTTTCTTTTTAAATATTTCTAAAATTTGCAAATCGTAACTTTTTTTTCTCTCAAAATGGTCCAAACCATTGAAATAGTTAATATTTTTCACCTCTTTTCTCTTTAAATATTTCTAAAATTTGCAAACCGTAAATTTTTGGTCACTATTTTTTTAAAGTGATTTAAATTTTTTATTTTACGCTATTTCGAACACCCTTGGCAAAAATCCTGGATCCGCCACTGCGTGTAATAATTCAGGAATGGAAGAGGTATATATATGTACCACTGATATGAAGCACTAAACCGACAGGTTGTAATAAAACAGTAAAAGGAGGATAAAAGAGCAGTTGCAGAAAAACCCCATAATCACAAATTCATCGACCATTGCTCATATATTTTACATTCACTGCATGCATGCATATGCATTACATTAACTCAATTGGTTAAAAAAGATTGACGCAAACTTTGGCTTTTCGTTGTAAAAGGTGTACTATGTGTTCTCCCTTTATTTTCAACAAGTGAAAAACATTGAATTAAATAAAAGATAGATTGGATTTATGTATGTGTGGAAATTGGAAGGTAATTTTCAAATTTCCTGATTCCAATTTGAAAATATCTGAATTTGAAACCATGCATTTTTTTTTCTTCTGATTTTTTTATTTTTCTGATTATTTTTTGAATGGAATTAGAATTGTATGTAAAATTATTGGAAATTCCGAAT